GGTGAATTTCTGCTCAATGACAGGAATGAAAATGGAACTGAAGGGGGTGAATTTCTACTCAGGTAACAGGAGTTAAAGGGAACAGAATTGAGTGAATTTCTGTTCAGGTGCTGCCACGAGGGGCTCAGGGAAAAGGATTTAAAAGCGAACAGAATTGAGTGAATTTCTGCTCAATAACATGAGTTAAAAGGGAAGAGAAAGGAGTGAATTTCTGCCCAGGTAACAGGAATGAAAATGGAACAGAATGGGGTGAATTTCTGCTCAATAACAGGAGTTAAAGGGAGCAGAATGGGGTGAATTTCAGCTCAGGTTCTGCCAGGAGGGGCTGGGGAGCAGCAGCCCTGAAGGGAGCTGTGCACCTGATCCCAGCCTTGCTGGGCTGTTTCTCTGCACTTCCATTCACAAATGCCATAAATGCACCTTTATCCTGGAGACCTTTTTTTTAAATTAAAATCTTTTCCTTGGGTTTCATAAGGACCTGCAGAGCTCAGACTGCAGCTGTTACCTGGCCAGCCCTGTCCCACATCCCAAGCACCTTTTAGAGATTTTTTTTTTTTTGTAGCTAAGCAGTAACAAAAATTCCTGTGTTTGGTTTATTGCTGGGAGGGTGTGATCACAATCTGTGTGAAAGGAACCAAATCCCCCAGCAGGAGCAGACACAGGGGCTCTGTTTAACTCTGGAATTTGCATTCTTTCCTTGCTGGAAATGGAGGGGAGATGCAGGGATGGGGCTGTGGGTGTCAATTCTCCTTCCAAATGCCTGGGCTGTTGCAGAGGGGTTTGGGACAGGGCAGGGCAGGAAGGAGCAGGGGATAGGCACCTGTGGGAGTTTCTGTGCTGCCCAAATTCCCCCTCTGGAGGGGAGCACACAGCACAGGTGACACCGCTGGGCACAGAGTGACTGATCACCCTCAGCGATTTGCCTCCCAAAGTTTGAGAGGTGTGTGAAATTTTATCTGCGAAATTTGAGTTTTAAAGACTCCTATAAAAGTCTACAGGAGTCCCAAAACCACTGCGATGCTGCAGCAGGGGGGACTTGGGCTGAAATGGGAGAGAGAGAGAGAGAAATACAAGTGGATCCACGAGCAGCGGGTACCAAAAATTCCTGTGTGCCGCAGGAGCTCTGAGCCCTGCCCAGCACAGAGGGGAACTCAGAAGTGATTAATTCATTGCTCATCTCGGCTTTATCAATTGCTGCAATCGCAGCAGAGAACAAGAGGCAGGGAGGGCACACAGAGACGCGTGGACAGAGAGAGACAGAGAAGCAAAGCTGTGCCAGGTTTCTCCCCTTTCTGGGAAATGTTTCTGAGGGACCACGGGCTGTCCCTGCAGATCCGGGCAAGGACAGCACAGAAATATCCAGCAGCAAACCCAGCGAGAAACTCGGGGATGGGCGGAAGGGGTGGCAGGAGCGCTGGAGATGCTGCAGCTGCCTTGCCCTGTCCCGCTCACTCTCCTGCTCCCGGGAACGCTCCCGGTCATCGATAAACCCCAGCTCCAGCCCGGAGAGCTGCCCGGTATCGGCTCCGGCCCCGGAGAGCTGCCCGGTATCGGCTCCAGCCGCCCTGGCTCCATCCCCAGCCCAGGAGCTCCAGCCTGGCTCCATCCCAGCCTGGCTCCATCCCCATCCTGGCTCCATCCCCAGCCCAGGGATGCTCGAGATGTTCCTCATTTCCAAACTGCCTTCTCCTCCCTCCCGACCCCTTTACCCCTCTCCGGGGACCCCCAGCGCCCCCGCCCCGTTTACCTGCGCCTTCTCGGGGTACCGGCAGGTCGCAAAGACCAAATCCGGGGAGGGGCTGGCGGCTGCGAGCCCCCGCACCAGCCCCAGGCCGATGCCGCGGCTGCAGCCGGTGATGAGCACGGAGCGGCAGCGGGGCTGGGCCATTCCTGCCTCGGCTCGGCCGCTCCGCTCCGCTCCCGGCGCTTCTGGAGCCCACGCGGGGCTCGATCAACCTGAGCCGAGCGGGGCCGCCCCCGGCCCGCCCCCAGCGCGGCGCCGCCCCCGCCCGGCTCCGGGCACGGAGAACGGGCAGGGAACGGGAATTGGTTCTAAGGGGAATTGGTTCTGTTCCGCCCGGCTCCGGACACGGAGAGAACGGGCAGGGAACGGGAATTGGTTCTAAGGGGAATTGGTTCTGTCCCGCCCGGCTCCGGACACGGAGAGAACGGGCAGGGAACGGGAATTGGTTCTGTCCCGCCCGGCTCCGGGCACGGAGAGAACGGGCAGGGAACGGGAATTGGTTCTAAGGGGAATTGGTTCTGTCCCGCCCGGCTCCGGGCACGGAGAGAACGGGCAGGGAACGGGAATTGGTTCTAAGGGGAATTGGTTCTGTCCCGCCCGGCTTCAGGGCACCGAGAGAGCAGACAGGGGAAGGGGAATTGGCTTTTCCCCCTCCATCCCGCTCCCGGCCGGTACACAAACTCTGTTCCACCAACTTCAGAGCCCTTCGTGTGACAGCGGTGGGCGCAGAGCAGTCCCTGAGCCCTGTGACCCTCATTATCGGCCCCACAGAACGGGGGAGCCACGAGAAGCTGAGAAAACAAAGCCGTAACTCCCCTGAAGGGCTGAGAGCTGTTTGCACACTCAGGTGCACGTGGGGCTGTGGCTTCCAGGTGAACTTCTGCCAGCTCCAGCCACTGAGCCTGCCCTGCTCAGCAGCAGCACTGACTGCCTCAGCGTCCCACAAACCCAGCACAATGTTCAGCCACCCCAAAATTTTCATCCTCCAATGTCCCAGCAAACCCAGCCCAGCTGAACAGCCACCCCAAAATCTTCACCCCCCATGTCTCAGCAAACCCACCCCAAAGTGCAGCCCAAATGTCCCAGCAAACCCACCCCAGCTGTTCAGCCCCCAAAGTCCCAGCAAACCCAGCACAATGTTCAGCCACCCCAAAATTTTCATCTTCAATGCCCCAGCAAACCCAGCACAATGTTCAGCCACCCCAATATTTTCACTTCTCAGTGTCCCAGCAAACCCGAGATGTTCAGCCACCCCAAAATTTTCATCCCCTAAAGTCCCAGCAAACCCACCACAATGTTCAGCCACCCCAATATTTTCACTTCTCAGTGCCGCAGCAAACCCACCCCAGATGTTCAGCCACCCCAAAATTTTCAGCCCCAATGTCCCAGCAAACCCAGCCCAGCTGTTCAGCCACCCCAACATTTTCACCCCCCAGAAGTGGCCCACATCCCAAGGGATGGCATTCTCCTCAAGCCCAGCTCCTCCTCCTTGTCCAGGTGAGCAAACACAGCTCAGGGAGCTCAGCTGGGACTGCCAGCTCCTCCAGAAGTATCATAGAAATGCAATTCCCACCTCAAATCTTCGTGGATTGGGGGATTTTGTGTTTGGTGCCCAAAATTCCTGCCTTTAAGGGAATGGGGATTGAATTCCAAGTCTTGAATCTACTGCAGTTTAAAAATCTCTTCATTTTGCAGCCATTTCTTTCCTTATGAGTAGGCACAAGTGGTGGAGCTCATAAGAAACTCGAGTGAATGTAATAGAAAATCAAATACTTTAATGAAATTAGGGAGCATGAGAGTAACAGCTCAGATATACCACTAGAACTGATACTACTGGGCTGTGGGGCTCTGCTAATTGGGTTTTAATTGCTCTGTTCATCAAGCATGCAGACTGACAAACTACCAATTCTTCAAAGATCCTGAGTCAAGAATTTTCAACCACTTCAAATGGATATATAGCAAATGTCTTCTGAGCTGGTGGCCTGCACACAGCATTGCACAGATAAAAATATTCTACTCTCAATGCACAGAGCTAAATACTTTCACATTTATCAGAATTTTCTACACAAGTTTTTTTTTTTTTTTCTTTTGATAGAATTCAAGTTTTTGAATTTTTCTGTATATATCTTCACTTGTATTAAACAAATGCTTATTTACATTGTGGGTAAAGTGTAAAGGCTAGGAAGGCCATTTTCCCATACTGTAACACTGCAAAATATATATATATATACACAGAGAACCTAATATAGGCAACAGGACTAAAAAAAAATCACCTCCCACCTGTACAACATCACCGAGCCAGCATGGAAAGAGGGCGTTGGTAGCACCAAACCATTCCTGGGGGGCTCAGCAGCTTCCCAGCCCCACAGGGAAGAGCTGCTGGGCACAGCACCCCAAGGATGGGCTGCCCTGGGGTGGAAATGCTGAGGAGCAGGACAGGAGCTCCCAGTGAGGGTGACAGTGGCACGGCTGACATCACCTGCCAGGCTTTGCTTTGGATACAGGGACCAGCACAAACTGCTGGCTCAGGAGCCAGATTAACCCTGCACAAGCCATGGGGAACCAGCTCTGCTGGTTCACCAGTGGTGCCAGAGGGAATTCCCAAGGGAAGCAGCCCCATCTCACCAACTGTGCCTTGGTGCTGGAGGGAAATCCCTCAGCAAGCAGCCCTGGTGGGCACTGCCTGGGGAAGCAGCTCCCAGCTCTGTGCCCGGGGTGCCAGAGAGAATTCCATCAGGAAGCAACCCAGCTCACCAGAGGGAATTCCCTCAGGAAGGACCCCAGCTCACCAGAGGGAATTCTCTCTGGGAATTCCAGGAAGCAGCCTGGTGGGCTCACCAGGAGAACTCCTTTGGGAATCAGCTCCAGCAGGACCTTTAGGAAGCAGCCCAGGGGCTCAGCAGCAGGAATCCCCTTGGGAGCAGCCCCAGTGGGGGCTCACCAGCAGGAATTCCCTCGGGAGCAGCCCAAGAAGGGCTCACCAGTGAGAACCAGCCCAGGAGCAGCCCAGGAAGGGCTCACCAGCAGGAATTCCCTTGGGAAGCAGCCCCAGCAGGAATTCCCTCAGGAGGAGCCCTAGAAGGGGCTCACCAGCAGGAATCCCCTCAGGAAGGGCTCACCAGTGAGAAACCCCCAGGAGCAGCCCTGGGGCTCACCAGCTGTGCCCAGGGTGCTCTGTCTGTCTCAGTGGCAGTGCCAGCTGTGCCCGGGCTGCTCTCTGTCTGTCTCACCGGCTGTGCCCGGGCTGCTCTCTGTCTGTCTCACCGGCGGTGCCGGCTGTGCCCGGGGTGCTCCCTGTCCCTCTCCCTGTCCCTGTCCCTGTCGTAGCGGTGCCCTCTCTCGTAGGAGCGCGCTCTCTCGTGCCGGTGGTTGCGGTAGTAGTGTCCCTGCCCCTTCTTCTTGTACTTGCCCGCGTGCTCGGGGCGCTCGCGGGAGCGGCTGCGGGAGCGGGAGGAGCTCCTGGAGCGGGACCTGCGGCCCTTGTGCCCGCCCTGGTACTTGCTGTAGTCCTTGGATTTCTTGTAGCCGCGGCCCTTGGAGCCCTTGTAGGAGGCGGAGCTGTGGTTGAACTGCCTGGGGGGGGAATCGCTGCGGCTCCGAGAGCGGCTCTGAGACTTGGAGCCACTGGAGGTGGAGTAGCTCTCACTCTTCCTGCAAGGGAAAACAGAGCAAACGTGGTTTTCTTCAATTACAACAACTTCGTTCTGGGTTTTGCTGCTTTCTTGGATTTTAAGACCTTCCGTCCTCATTTTGAATTGGAAGAACGTCCTTCTGCATTTTGCATTTGAAGAATGTCCTTCCATATTTTGCATTTGAAGAATGTCCTTCCATATTTTGCATTTAAGAATGTCCTTCTGCATTTCGCTATTCCCTTGAATTTGAAGAACATCCTTCTGTATTTTGAACTTGAAGAATGTCCTTCCTCATTTTGCCATTTCCTTGAATTTGGAGAACATCCTGCTGTACTTTGAATTTTAAGAATGTCCTTCTACATTTGGAATTTGAAGACCACCCTTCTGCATTTTGAATTTTAAGAACATCCTTCTATATTTGGAATTTTAAGAATAGCCTTCTGCATTCTGAATTTTTAAGAATGCCATTCTTCATTTTGAATTTTCTGTATATATATTTTGAATTTTAAGACCTTCCTTCTGTATTTTGAATTTTAAGAATGCCCTTCTATATTTGGAATTTTAAGACTGCCCTTCTGCATTTGGAATTTTAAGACCATTCTTTTGCATTTTGAATTTGAAGAATGTCCTTCTGCATTTTGCTGCTCTACCATGAGAGCTCATCTTGTGTCCTAAGCTTCCATCTGGCTACAGTAAAAACGCTGATTTTTAGGAACTCCAGTTCCAGTAATGCTGTGAACACCCACAGCTGGATCCCCTCAGCCTGTTGGTGATTCATTATCAAAGCTGGCACTGGGAAATCAGACTGGGAGATGAGACTGGAGGGACTGGGATCACACCCTACCTGTGCTTGGGGGATGCAGACCTCGATGGGGACCTTGAGTAACTCTGATCTCTGCTTCCACTTCGACTCCTGCTCTCTCTTCCTTTCTGGACACTGCCAGACACAAAGAACTCTCAGTTATTTTGTTTGAAGCACTCATGGGATAAAAATCAGCTGTTTCCTTACAAAACCTTACCCATTTACTGGGCTGTTGGAGCTGGTTCTCTTGGCTCCCTCTGTTTTCCTTTTTGCGTTCTTCATGGCCTGCACAGGTAGGGGTGAGGGTTTGTTTCCTTTCACCTCTTTTGGAGACTCTGCAAGAAGAAGCTTTTGTTACCTCTTTGGAAAGTACCTGAAAGGACTTGAGGTTCCCCTCACCCCAATTCTGCACAGCTGGGCTTTGCTCACACAGCCACCCACAAGCAGATCTCAACAAGTTCACAGAAGGCAGAAATTCACCTGAAATGTTTCTGCCAAAGCATTGAAGTCACTGCAAGAAAAGGCAGCAAACCACCCCTCCTTTCCTTGCCAATTATTCTGCATTGTTTGAAAGGTGAACTGGGGGAGAAGATGGTGAATTTTGTCTTCTAGGTGAGACTGCACCAGACTGGAAACTTTAACCAACAAATTCCTCACCCAGCATCCCAAAATGTTACCCCTGCCAGAGCAGCTCTGCTTCAATATTGCATCAGCACAACGTGCCAGGGGCAAAGATTTGAGTTTATTGCCAAATCCACATAAAAGCAAGCCCCTGGCCTATATGGGTTTAAACTAGTCTTAATTTCAGACTAATTTGATTTTAGCTTTTATCTGATTCAAGAAATCACAAAGCTACACTGCTATTCAAACCCTGCCAGTTGAGTAGTGCTAGGAGCCATCTTAAAAAAAACCCCAACAAACTCCAAACCACACTTGTAAAAGCTTCCCAAAAGGGTAAATATACATGAAAGATGTGAAAGAGTTATTAAAAATGAGTTATCCACTATTTACCATTTTTTGGGATGGGGGAAAATCCCGATGTGTTATCCAAGCTTGGAACTCCCTCAGGTACCAGACCTTTAGCTTGTGCTTTTGCCTCTTCAATGGCCAATTTCTTCTTTTCTATTTTACTTTCCAGATCAGATAAATCCACCTGTGAACACAGGAGCACTGCTTGTGAGAGCTGAATTTGCTGCTTACCCATTCCCAGGGAGAGAGAAATGAAATGAAATGAAAATTCCAAGGGGTTCCAGGCAGTGACTCTTTGTTCACTTCCAAGCTTGCAGCTGTGGTTTTAAACAAACTCAAATTTTCCAACTCCTTCACTGAGGGCTCCCAACATGAAAAACAACCAAACCTTTTTCCTTGTGTAGAGCTGCAAGATTTTTAAGCAGATTTCTTGAATTTCTTCCTCTGTTGCTCCAAACAGTAAAAACCAATGTGGGCGATTTGGAAGAGGGATCTGAAAGGAGAGACAGACAAAGCTCAGATTTCTCCTCCTGTTAAAAAGGCTTGAAAAAAACCCCAAATCCATCAAAGTGTGGCTCACCTCCAGCGTCCTGGCTGCCAGGTAAATGCAGGCACAGGCAATGCTCTCTGGCTGGAACCTCACAAACACATCTGTTCTCAGGCTGTCGTTCATGTAGTTCCTGAAAAACAGGAGAGCAGGAGGTTGCAAGGCACTGCAAAGCTCTTTGGGGCTCTTTTTTTGGGTTTTTGACTTGGTTTTATTTCTACAAGGGCTATTTCTTTCTGCATTCAGTTACTAGACTTCAACATTCTATTCCTGTAAGTCTAAAGAGAAGCTGAATGGTTTTACTACAAGAAAAATAAAAGGAATAACTAAAATTAAATCCCTCAAGGGGAGGGACGTGTGACAAAAACAAAGTCTGACTGCTGCAAATTCAGTGGTGAGAAGAGAACCAATTTTAACTTCACTTTTGCTGCTGGATCTCTACTGGCCTGCTCTCATGCAATAAACAAGTTATTTTCATCAAGACAACATACAGTGTGCTCAGAAATACTCAGAAATAGAATTTTAGGTTCACATGTCCCCCTGCAACAGGGCAGGACCAGGTGTGAGGTAAAAGCTGCAGCTCCTGGAGCAGTTCTCCCATGAAATGAAATCCTCTTCAGCACAGCTCAACTTCCAGTGGGGTTCAAGGGTCCATTTCCATCCAGAACAGAATTCTTTTTGATGCAAAAAGTCAGCCATAGGAGAAATCAGGGTGTTTGGGAAGATCAGTTCAGGAGAACAGTCAGAATTCAGGCAGATCTCCTCTGTGGCACATGAAATAAGGTTTCCAAATTGTCCCATTTCAGTAAGGTTGCTTAAAATGAATATTCACAGAATGAGAAAACTGTAAAATATTGCACATATTCCAGTCAGTACAATGAAGCATTATTTGTTGTTAAATCTTAAATACACAAAGTAAATTCCTGTGAATCTGTCAGCTGATGTGCTTTAGGAGATCTACACTTGAGAGCACATATGTCAGTAAAATATCAGATGAGAAAAACTAAAACCAGGCATAAGAAAAGTCCTTAAATAATACTTTAAATAATAATTAACCATGTGGGTACCCAGTATACAAGGATTCACTGACCCCCAAGGTATCCAAGCAGAGACCACAGGCACCTGCAAGGTTTGCAAGGACAGAGAGGAGGGATTGGAATCCCAGAGTTTCCAACTCCCACCTGTCCTCAATTCTTGTTTACACAAACAGCAACTGCTGCCCCAAAAAAGCAACATTAACTCATTTTTCTGGGAGAAAGGAACTTCTAAACCCACTACAAAGAGAGCACAAAGCTTTTGGCCAAAGGAATTATAAAGGAAAGGTTGACTTTGAACATCTGGAAGCTCCAAAGTGTTTTTTTCTGATTTGCCAAATTGAGAACCATGCCAGATTCCAAGTTTGGTTCTGCACATTTTCCCTGTGGGCTCAGCCAGACACAGGAGGAAATGAATCCTTGTCACAATAGCTTAAGAAAAAGGTCATGTTGTAAAAATGCACATTTCAAAAACCAGTTATACTGGATACCCACCAGTTCTTGGGTACTGGAAGCAACAAACACGAGCACAGAGATGTTATTGGAACATCTGACCCCTCTCCCAGCTGGGGTAATTCCCTCCCTCCCCTTCCCCTCCCCTCCTTCCATAACCAGCAGATTCTGGCAGTCCAAAATCCCATTCCACTGCTCCATGCAATGCTTCTGGGAAGTGTCTCTAAATATCACATTTGGTCTCCAAGCTTCACACATGTACTAGCTTTATCACTTAAACATTTTCATTTAAACATTTCAGATAATTGTATCTTTCAAACTATTCATTTTTTTGTTGTTAATTCATCCCTTTTCAAAGCTTTAAACCCCACCTTAATTCACTTCATCATATAATAAACACACCACATTGTAACAGTTAAGAGAAATAGAACAATTTTAAAAAAAATTAATTCAGAACTTCAACGCTCAGGTTATCAAATATACAAACAATCAAAAAAAAAGCAGAGTAAAATAAAAAATAAAAATAGAAGCACAAGAAGCAGTTGGCCAGTTACTCTACTATCATGTATATACCACCTGTCTAGAGCCAGCCTTCTCTTGGGAGAGCTTTGGGTTGACTGAAGACGGCAGCTATCCCTGCACCATGGGCAGCAGAGGAGAAGTCTTAGTCACTTACCCTCAGAGGCTACCCTTTGATCAAAAGAGTACAGAAAAGAAAAGTCAAAACTGGTTCTCTACACACAGCTCACAGTACCAGACAGTTCAGTCAGCAGAAATATGGTCTTTGGATTCACTAAAGGTGTTGGTTTTTTTTTTGTTGTTAAAAAAGGATTATTTGGTAAAGTTTAAGATGTGGGATTTTACAGAAGCTTCCCACCCCCGAGTAAATATTTATTAAATGAGAGCAACAAGGCAGAGAACATTTCTTGGCAAATATGATGCAGGCTATCCATCTATCCACTCTTAGAAGCTGACATCTTGCATTATCCACATAGATAAAAGAAATTTATCTGTGCTGAGCTTTAGATACACCTGAAATCAAACTCAGGCCCTGGGAAAAGCCATTTCCCAGCACTGGGAACAAACTTGCATTAACCCTGAAGAAAACCCCAAGGGAACAACTCTAAACCCACCCAAGCTTTTCCCTTCAGCTGGAAAGTGAGAGCAGAGAGGAGGGAAGTGAGGAGTCAGGGTGGAAAGCTACCTTACCATTAAAACACTGCCTCCAACTTAAGAGGCCGCTCAACTTTTGGGAAGTTTGGGGCACACCAAGGACAGTGGAGCTGTCTGGGGTGGCCCCAAGCACTGCTGAGCAATCCTGCCCAGTGCCTCAAGTGACATATTTCTGCTACTGCCCCTTCTGGTCTCTTAGAACAAAGAAAATCAACTTACCATGAGGTCTGGACCAGGTGTTGGTTACGTTCACATTCTAATACCTGAAGGTACATAACGATTATCTGGAAGATATGGGTCATTGAGTTATTAACCAGCATCTGGAGAGCCACATGCTCACTGCAGAGGGACATCCATGAGGCATCTGTGATCCTCTTTCAAGGCCTAAAGCACTCCACACACCAAGAGTTTGCACCATCCCCAGTGTTTATCCACACCAGCTCTGACCTTCTGAGCCCTTCTGTCCTGGCCTTGTCTCCACCAGGGCTTGGTTTGGGGATTTTGTGATGGATTTTTATTTAGGGATTGATTTTGTGGGTTGATTTTCATTTAGGCTTTTTCATTTAGGGATTTTGTGAATGGATTTTGTTCTCCTACAAACCCCACAAATCCTTTTTAGCTGCAGCCTGGTGCAATCAGCAGAGAGGGAAGCTGGCAGTGCTTGCAGAGAACAGATCTAACGCTGTGCCAGGGTTTGTTCAGCTCTGAGGGGTTTTCCTCAGGTTTGGAAGGAAAACAAGGCTGCAGAGAGGAAGGATAATGGCAGAATTCACCCCATTAACAAGCTACAGCTGCCCTCTGGGGTGGGGGACAACAGGAAATTCTGAATGTCAAGAAGCTCAAAAAGGCAGCTCTGAACAGTTTTTTAGAGCAGAGAAGAGCAAGATCCCCAGTTGTGCTGGCACAGAAATCCAAATTCTTTTACCAGCTAAAGCACAATTTAAACAGTTGAGGCAATTGTATCTTTCAAGTATCATCCACTCTGACACCTGTTATTTTTATTTGAACCTTGCCTCAGTTCTAGCCGAGCCTGAGCGTGGTTTTAACCCACTCCAAACTGGCTCAGAGATCTTTAATACCTCAGCACGAGTGACCACGACAAGCCCAGGCCTCCAAACTGCTCCCTGCTCGGGGGAATCTAAATTGAGGTGATGTTTTCTACCACCACAGCTACCTACTGATCCAATTTGCCTTCCAGGAATAATGAGCACCTGCAGCCACCTCGCCGTCACCCAGCAGTGATACGAGAGCAATTAGTAAGAGTCTCTTAAATGAGAAAGAAAACATCAGGATGGTAAGAAACTAAATCTCACTGAGTTCACTGATCATCATGTGCACTCCACAGAGCTTCCAGGCAGCCTCCTCAGAGCTTTACAGAACACAAAACCTTGGTTATGGAGTGAATTTAGAAAGTACAAACCTTATGAGGGTGCTTCACGTGAACACAAAATCCCAACTCCTTCAACACTCTTCTTTCTGCCTTAATTATTTGATTCTTCAAGTTCACATATTCTTGATCCAATATTAGAGGCACAGGTTTTCTGCAAGACAAGGTCCAACTCAAAAAATTATCATCTTAACCCTTAAGGAAACTCAGGTTGAGTTGTGTAAAAATAATAATAAAAATCATTATTTATAACACCAAAAATATAGATTTATTAAAACAGGTCAGCTCACTTCATGAGATCACTCTGAAATATTCCCTGATTTATGAAACAGGGAATGATGCTATTGTTTAATAATAACATCATAATAATAGTTAATAATAAGCCTAATAATTTAAATACAACAGACATAACTCAGATAATTCTGAAATCTCAGCTTACTTTTTCTCCCTCAGGTGTCTGAGGCGATGGAAAACATTGATCACATCCCGAATGCGTCTGGGGGCTTCCTCAATTTTGGATGCCAGATGGACACAGGCCATGGAAACATGCTGAAAAACAATCACAAAATAGAATATTTTCTATATTTCATTTCTAGTTCAGGAACTGAGCTCCTACAACAGTTTAAGGATGGATAATGAAGGAAAAAAACAAGAAAATATCAAATACTTGACAAAAATCACTATTAAACAGCTTTGTAAAATCATGTTTCTCTATAACTATAAACTCCAGACTAGTTCCTAATACTGATCACACTCAGATAACAGCTTGCCAAGAGAGATCAGAAGATAAATATGGCAACAAATGCCATTTAATGCCTTCTTACCTCCATGGAATGCTTCACAAAAGACTTGGTGTAAAAGAAACGCTGGAATAGCACCTGTCCTGTAGCCATAGCCACCTAAAAAATGAGATAATCACAACAGCCATGAACAAAACTGTCACTTCCAAAGAGAAAATTTAATAGAATTAAGACCCAGAAGATTAACTAAGCATGAGAGGAAGTTTAATGGTATCTGAAGAAAACTTGAGTTGCTAAAGTAATTAAGGTTATCAATGCTTTAAATACTGCCTACAAGTCAAATACAGACGGCAAATCCTAATTTTCTGTTATAAAATATGTGGAAATACGCTCTAAATTACTACATTAATAATGAAAAACAAGAAAAATCTAAAAAGCAAATAAAATTCAAAGTTATGAAAGTACGTCAGAAAAATATTTGCTTTTTTGGGCGTGGAAAGTGAGGAGCACTCTAATCGCGTCACGATTTGCATACATTTGAATACACTAAGCCTCGGAAAGTTTTACTCTCAGAGGGCAACGAGGCTGTTTGGCCTGAAATTCTCCGTGGAAACAAAAACCTCGCCGAGGTCACCGGGGCTGCAGAGGAGCCTTAGGAAATCCGCCTTTGCACAATCCCCACGCGGAGGCGGCGGGGGCGGCGCTGACATCACCGCATCCGGCAGCCAGCGGCTCCGAACGGCCCGGAACGAGCCCCGAGCGGCCCCGAACACCGGGCGGCCCCGCGGCCTGCCCGGCCGGTAACTGCGGCGAGGCCCCGGGGCCTGCCCGCCCGGTAACCGGGAGATCGCACAAAGAAGAGCCCAGCCTAGCCCTGCTGAGTGCTGGCCCCATCCCTGCCCGCGCCCAGCCCCACCTGCGGCAGCCGCAGCAGGATCCCGGCCGCCTGGATGAGCTCGCAGCCGGTGACGCGCAGCTCGGTCTCGGTGTCCGGGTCTAGGCCGCTGCTCATGGAAGGCGTGAAGCGCAGCGTGTGCTCGGGTAGCAAGCAGTTCTCCAGCGTAATCAGCACGCCCGAATACAGCCGGTCGCCGATCAGCACCGCGCCGGGACCCGGTACCGGGGCGGGAGCCGCGCCGGCCGCCTGAGGGCCCGCGGGGCCGCCGCCTGCCGCCGCCGCCATTTTGTGCCGCCTCCGCCTCGCTGGCTCCGCGCTCCGTCTCCTTCCCCCACCAGCATCCGCCCGACGCCGATTGGCGGAGCGCGGCGGGACCGTGGCCGCTGATTGGCTGAGAAGCCGTGACGCAGGACGCCGCCCGGGCCGCGCGCGGCGGGGTGACGCACCAGCCGGGAATCCGGACAGGGCGGGGCCCTCAGCGCCGGGGCCGTGTGGGGACGGGCGCGAGGGGGCTGGAACTGAGCGGTCACCGAGTTAAATATCTTTGTTAACTCCGTAAAAAACCACACTATGCCCTCACCGAGTTAAGTATCTCCGTTAACTCCGTAAAAAAAAAAAAAAACACACTATGCGCTTACCCAGTTAAATATCTCCGTTAACTCCGTAAAAAACCACACTATGCGCTCACCCAGTTAAATATTTTTGTTAACTCCCTAAAGCACCACACTATGTGCTCACCGAGTTAAATCTTTATTAAATCCCTAAAAAACCACACTATGCGCTCACCGCGTTAAATATCTTTGTTAATTCCCTAAAAAAACACACAATGTGTGTCCGTAACGTGGGGCCCGCCGAGGTTCGTATGAGAGGGCCGACATACCGCTTCCCACCCCGGTTGGGTTTTCCCCATGCTAGAATTTCACCACAAAAATTGTTTCCCCGTAGCAATTGCCAACAAAATGTTGTACCAAAAATATGTTTAATATTAAGTCCTTAACAGAACAGGTTATGTTTCTCCCTCACCTCAGGGCTGTCAGGGTTCGTCTCTGAGGGCTGATATCTCCCTCACACTGGGCTGGTTTTTTGCTGTGCAGTGCCAGAACTCACCACTAAAATTATTTTTCCACAGCAATTACAAAAAAAAATTATCTTTATAAGTTCTTATAAAGTTCTAACAATTACCTTTATAAGTTCTTATATGTGTCCTTAACACAGGGGCTGTGTGTGAGAGTTGACATCATGCCCTCCCTCCATCCCCTAGCTGTATTTTCCCACTGAAGTGCCAAAATTAACACAAATTGTTTCCCCACGGCAGTTTTCATTAAAAATCTCTTTATTAAATTCTTTATAAGTACAAACCATGTGTATCCTTAACTGCCAGGCTCCACCTGTGAGGGTCAACATTTCCCTCCCATCCCAGTGTTCTCTCCATTCAGAATTCACCACACAAATAAAGTTTATTTTCTACTAGCAGTTACAAAAAAAAAAAAAAAAACTTTATTAAGCCACTGTATGGCCTGACTGCTAACCTTGAAGTGTGCTTTTAATTTAACAGGTTTCAGTGACAACAACACAGGGAAAAAGCCATCAAGGAGAAGCTTCACATCCACACCATCCTCAGAGGATTTGTTCCACATTTTCCATTTTTCAGCAACAGTCCCACCACAGGTTTGCTTCACAATCAAATCCCTGCTTCTAAAACACACACACAGGCTCTGATATCAATAGGGGTGGTGCACAATTCGTGAAAATATCCCCTCAGGTTCTTTTCCATCTCCCAGGGCAGCCAGGAACCCTTCCTGTCTCCTCCTCTGGGCTAAAGCTGCCAGGGATTTGAATGTCTTTGGCTCATAAATAGCCAAGTCAGCCAGAACTTTCCTGTTCAGCTCCACCTGGGACTAAAGGCAAGAAAAAATTGTTGGTTAAGGACTGTGATTTTTAGGAGCAACACTGCAATGCTTAGTTTTAAATATATTTAATTTAAATAGATTTGATTAAATATAGTAAAATTTTAGTATTAAATAAAATTAAATGTATTAAATATAATGAACACTATTAAAAATAATGAACACTCTTTACTGTTTATATAAACACCATTAAGTATGATTAAACACTCTTAAGGCTTAAGACCTGAGGTCTTAAAGCAGATTAAGTTTTTTCTGCCCTGTGCAATTTGGAGCTGTTTAAGACTGTCAGACACTCCCTGGCCATGGATGTCTCATTAACCTACCATGTAAAAATTATTTCCTGACTTTCTCTAAAGTTTTTCTGGTAGAAACCAAGAACTGAAGAAAAATCTCTAATTTTGCCTCAAGGCCAGTTAATCCATAGCATCTATTTCAGCTCAAAAAAAAAAATTAAAACAGAATCACCAAACTGAAACAAACTGTTGTAAAAACAAGGAACAATGGCACCAAGTTTCTGCATTCTCCACGCTCACCAAATCACAATTATAATGAAAAAAATAAGGATTTCTTAGATTTTTGGGTTTTTTGC